ATAATCACCTGATACTCACGTATCTAATGAAATGGCATGCACTGTTTTGTTATACCACAGCTTCTTTTTTTCTCGTTTGTAGTATCTGTACCACAGCTTCTTTTTTTCTCGTTTGTAGTATCTGTGGTACTTGTATATTCATATTTTTTCAATATTCAATTCCGGTTTATTGTACACTTAAACACGATTATGTATGTAAGCAACATCTAGTCGCAGTGCATAATGCACGTGTTTTGTGCTTTGTTCTTAAATAAAAAATGTGTATGCAATACACTTGGCTGAGTGTTTCTCTAGCACAAGCTGACATTTAGCATTATATGTTGCCATCAGTCAAATTTTATTTTGCGATTTTAGAAGTTCAAATCATGCATAGGTTTTCTTTTGCTTACAGGTGCTAATATGATTAGTTCTTCTCAAAAATGCACTTTGATGAAAAAATTGTGCGTGCTTTAGTCTAATTTCAGTAATTTTAGTGCACGTCCAGAAGAATTAAATTAGCACCTGAGAGCACAGGAAAACGTATTTATGATTTGAGCTTTCGAAATTTCATCTTCAGAGAGTAAAAAAACAAAACAAAAAAACTAAGAGACTGCTTTTAGAAAAAACGCTGAATAAAATACATCCCTTATTCTCCCTGTCATGTACACAGTGTGTACTGCGGGATTTGTTTGGGACTTGCAAGGGATAACCCTGGGTTACGGTAAGTGTGGCCAAATCGACCTGCAAGGAATGTCCGCCGCTGTGGTTTCGGAAATGCAGTAGATATTCGATATCCAGTCAGGCTTGTCCTGTGGTACGTTCTGCGGATGTAATTTTTTCGAAAGCACATGCTTTGACGGCGAACGCAGATTCAAAAGGAAACTAACATTTTCCACAAATGCCGCGCGAGAAACCGCGCTTCACGGCCAAGCCATCATCAACAGAGACTATTAGACGAAGGCACGGGGCTAACACAGCAGTAAATTAATGGCAATAAAGACGTAGAAAAGGCCAGACGCGTTTTGGTGTTTCTGTCCGAAGGATCTAATAATGTTGCTGCCGATCTGCCCACTCTGGCAATACTTTGGTGTTCAGTTTTCAGTTGGCTTCAAGCGAAGCTTCGACCCGCGCTTTTCCGGCAGCCGCTGTGTTGTCTTGTCCATTCACAAGTGTCCCATGAAGACCTGCGCGGGTTCTTTTGACAGAAATAGATTTTGCTAGTTGTATTGACAGTGCGAAATTTCACGAGATACTGAGTATTTGCACACCCCCATTGAGTCTCGCATCTTTTACTGTAGTTGGGAAACCCTACCGTCGTGTGTTCAGACATGCACAGCTCCCAAAATAAATGTTTGAAGGACGAAAAATTTTATAACGATCAAAGAATATTAATGCACATTAATATTGAAGGGTATTATAAGGACTTTAAGAATTCATACAAACGAAGTTAAAACACTGCTCCACAGTGCGTTGTACACTGCGAAACGCTGCAAAGCAAGAGTATGCATATGACACTCTTTATGCATAAAGAAGCTACCAAGTATTACAGCATAACAGCAACTGCACGGTTGGTGGGCACTTTCCAGAACAATAGAGAAAATAAAAATCGGGTCTTTTTGTGTTATCGCAAGTTCCTGATCCAGATGAAAAAAAAAACATCCCTAACTGCAAATAACAAAACACGGCTGCAGTTTTACATAGATTAAAAGTACATCCAAAGGCACTCTATCACTTTAGTTTAGTTCGAAGAATACCGCTGTATCTCTGGAAAGCTGTGGGGTCAGAGCAGTTTTACAGAAAAAGTATAACTATGCCCGAGCAATGACGTGTCTCCGGGATAAATGGGAGAGTTGCCAGGTATGCAGTAGTCTCCAGAAAGCATGCTCAATAATACACTCAATGTAGAGAATGCACCACATGCACTAACCTGGCCTCGCTTCCACTGCTCCTGGAATATGGTCAAGTTGTGCTTGTTTCTTGGATCATGAAGTACAAGCAACTTTCCATCGCAGAGCCACGAATGGGGAACGTTGGGGTAAAGCAGTGAGGTCTCGGCTAGGCTGCCACGTACAGGCAAGACTTCACAGCCCTTTTGTGGGCTGGGGAAGCGTTGGCAGAAATGCACCAGTTGCTGTTCATCTTTCCTTGCCCACCAAATGCTCCACTGCTGTTGCAACTACTTCATCCACCTGGCTCTTTTCAGCACTACCACCAGTAGGGCGAAGTTCACGCAGTGGGGAAAAGTCTTCACCCTTCTCGTCATCACCAGCTTCACTCCCCTGCTGCTGATCACTTTTGTCATCAACTTTGCTAGGGGAGTACAGTGCTAGATCTGCCAAGGCCGACAGAAGAGTGCCTACGCTGTCAGAGCTATGGCTGCCACCTATTGCATCAGAGGACGTGTTGGCGTTGTCATTCACAGCTTGCTTTTCGCGCTTTCCGGCCTGCCCCGTTTCATCGTTGACTGCACTGTTCTCCTTCTCAGAGAAGCTCTTGTTGACAGCACTCATGAGTTGCTGCAAAAACACAAGATCAAGGTCAAAAACACAAGAACATATTAATATTAACAAACAACTTTACATCATCACTCTGAAAAATACTAGAAGAAGGAGAAAATAACTTCAAAATTGGCTCTGGAACTCAATTTCGATGCAGGGTGACCACTGTTTTAAGAGAGACACTGGTGTTAAATATCAAGAATTTCGTTACAACATACTGTAATGAAATTATGTATGTATATGGGTTTCTTCCTCCTGTATTCAAAAATGCAATTGGTTTCAATGTTTTCCAAATAGTTACCGTATTTACTCGCGTCATCCTTGCACTCGCATAATTTTCGCACCCCCCACATCGCCCAAGAAAAATATGATTTCTTTTTTTCCTCGAGTAATTATCGCACCCCCAAAAACTACCGCAATAATGTCGTCTGGTCGTTAGAGCCACTAGATGGATGGGTTGATGGATATGGCTGTACCCTTTAGATCGGGCGGTGGCTAGCGCCACCAAGCCGTAATACCTAATGAACCAAAAACTATATTTTTTTTTTCCTTAAAAAGCGAGTTTGAGGATTCGTACTTTGCAGTGAAGAGTTTAATTTTCACTCGTGCCTTGACTTTAGCCACCAATCAGATAACCTCCTTCTAGTTAAGTCTACCCGCTTAAAGTTTTTTTTGCCCTCCCGGTCCCTAAACCCCAGTGCTTTGAAAAACTCTGCGCCATCATCCTGAACTATAGGGTGAAGCCCTTTACAGAACATTATCAAGTGTTCGGCAGTTTGTTCTACCTCTCCTCACGCACTGCATACTGTGTCTACCCCTTCGTATTTGGCCCGATATGTCTTGGTTCGTAGTACTCCCGTCCTGGCCTCAAACAGTAGAGAACTACCCCGAGTATTATCATAGATCTTTTCCTTGGCAATTTTCTGCTTAAAAGTTCGATAGATCTCTAGTGCGGACTTCTTAATCATGCCCATTCTCCACATGTCAGTCTCCGTTTCCTTCACTTTCTTCTTAACCGATAGTTTTTTTTGGTTTGGCCACCTGCTGTTTTCTAAGTATTTACCAGTCAACTTCCTGGTTCGCTTCCTCCATTTTGTATCGACATTCTTCATGTACAAGTAGCTGAAAACCTTCCTAGCCCAACGCTCTTCGCCCCATTTCTCTCAATCGCTTCTCAAATTTTATCTTGCTGCTAGCTTCCCTGCCCTCAAATGATGTCCATCCCATATCACCTTGTACTCCCTGATTTGGTGTATTCCCGTGAGCTCCTAAAGCAAGCCTACCTATTCCACATTGCTTAATTTCTAATCTTGTTTGAACTTCTGATCTCATGCACAAGACCGCATTGCCGAACGTCAGCCCAGGAACCATGACCCCTTTCCATATTCCTCTCACAACATCATACCTATTGTAATTCCACAGTGCCCTATTTTTCATGACTGCTGCATTCCTGTTACCTTTAGTCGTCACGTATATTCCGTGTTCCCTCAGATACTCGGTCCCATTGCTTATCCATAAGCCCAGATATTTGTATTTATCTGTTATCTCTAGCGTGACCTCCTGTATTCTAAGCTCACTACCTTCGTTGTCATTGAAAATCATGACTGCTGATTTTTCCCTATTGAATCTAAAATCTAACCTATCTCCCTCATTACCGCAGATGTCCATCAATCTCTGCAAATCTTCCTTGTTGTTGGCCATTAGCACTATATCACCTGCGTACATTAATGCTGGTAGTGCCTGATCAATAAATTTTCCTTGTTTGACTAAAAAGAGGTTGAAGCCCAGTCCACTTCCCTCTGATTTTGCCTCTAATCCTTGTAGGTACATCATGAATAATAAGGGTGACAGGGGGCACCCCTGCCTAAGCCCCCGTTTTACCTCTGCAGGCTTGGATACCCGTTTTTCCCACTTTATAACTACCTTGTTACCGTTATAGACACCCTTTAAAAGATTGATGACTGATAATTGAAGATTGAGATTGATGATGATTGAAGACTGATGATGATAGATGACTGATGATGAAGACTGATGATGATGATAGTAATCTTGGCATGTTATGGGGTGATACTGAAGCTACACGGCTGCTTCAAGTTGCAAGTGATAGATCATGCACTAAACGATGGCAACAGGGCCGCCGGTAGGCCCTTCGGAGTCTACGAGTTTTGTGTTCGCTACTGGTGACGACAGCTGAAAGCCACCAAGATGCATTGGGCCTGCCGTCGGCCTAAAACTGGGATTTATGGTAAACTTTATTTCTTCAGAAGGAAACTGCGGACAATTCTGTTAAAAAGCCATCAGATCAATACTGACGTTCTACGCTTACCTTTTGAGGGCTCCTGTTGAGCGACGAACGCTACCGCTACGCCCACAACCTTCGTGTATGGTATTCTGATTCTCGACTATTTGCTTGCACTTTTTGTGTCTCAAATAAAACTTGCCTTGTGTTGAACTTCTGCTTTTATTGTTGAGGTAAGTTCTAAGTAGTATTTCTTAAAGCTTGCTATAAGCTGCTGGTGTGAGAATCCCGATTTGCGGCCACTTTGTTTTCTTTTTCTCTCTGTACGTTTTTGTGGAAAGTTTTTCCCACGTAATTCTCGCACCCCCCTACTTTGCATCAATTTTCCAACAAAAAAAGTGTGAGGATTATGTGAATAAATACGGTATACTATGGGAAACTTCTTCATATCTCGCTTTAGGGTGGCGGCGCTCGGCCCTTTGCAACACTGATGGCGCGCGCAATGTTTGAACAAATTTTGTTCTTTTCGGGACATTTCACTGCTGCCTTAGCGCTTTGAAGGCCCATTTTATCACGTTTCCCAACCAAACTTAGCGTCATTAGTTTGAGAGGTACTCAGAAGTGGATATTTCCCGAAAAAAAGCTTTGCCAAAATGTCTCTTTTTGGCCACTATTGATTGCTCCAAGACCCGTGTCTATCCATGAACAACAGTACATGCACTCAAACAAGCACCTTCCAGCAAGGATTCAACCTGTAACCATGCGGTGAACTGCCTGCTTTCATGGCCACCAAGTGCAGGCAAGCATGTTCTCAAAGATGGAACCCAAACTTGCAGAAAGACAGGACAGTATTCCAACACTAGAGTGAATCTTTATAAGATATCTATTTTTTAATAGTAATGATTGTTATAACCCACCTTGCACAGCCAATAAGAGGAGTTTTTCTTGTAGTCAACACTAGAGTGAATTTCTATAAAATAATTGTTTTTAATAGGAATTATAGTTATAACCCACCTTGCAGAGACTTTTAGAGGAGTTTTTCTTGCAGTCGCTGTTCCACTCATGGCGTCTCCGGAGCAGGTCTTGGCTGACGTCCCAAAAAGCTGTGCTAGGTATTATTTGTGTCATCATCAGTTTATCCTGTTCGTGCGGCTGTCGATTGGCACACAGGAGCCACTGGAACTCATCTTTGTCTTTCCGAGGGGTGTCCTCAGCTGAAAAGGCAAAACAGTGTAAATTAACAGACCATGAAACCACGTTAAAAATCACCAACCTTTCACTGTGCCATTCTTCTTTGCCTTGTAGCAGTCTATACACACCACAAAGCCGCAATTGCGACACACCCAGTGAGTGTTGAAGAGAGTTGTATCACAGACATCACATAGTTCCCGCACACCTTGCACAACGCGCTTCCACAATATGGTCTTATCTTCGCCCATGTGTAAAAACTGTGCTTCCCTCTCTTGCTCCACGAGATCAAAAAACTGGTTGCCAACATGGGACAGTATGATTTTTGCAGTCTTAACATTCAAGTCTTTGGGTGCATGATCCAATGGAGGAAACCAGAGCTTTAAATCTTCATCTGAAGCATCACTTGGTTCCGAGAAGCCACCACTGAGCACAATGCCATTCTTGTCAAAGCGTAGCCTGAAAGTAAAAGTGTGCCAAATGAGCAACATGAAAATTTATCTCTTCTTTGAACACACTTCGATGTCACTCCAACTTACTTTCTGAATGCGTAGAAGCGACAGAGACTGTTTGGCATTTTCTTCTTCCTCTGGTTCGGCGTCATCCAACACTCCCTACACTTGGGGAGCTTTGCAGCAACATCATAACACGACGCATTCTGCAGAAATGGCTTGCCTCGACTTCTTCAGTTCGGCAATGGTTGGCTTGTCCGCTGACCGTTCTAATAAAAAGAAAAAGTAAACCGCGGATAAACATAAAACATCATCAAACAGAGTAATTAGAGCTCCATTTGGTATGCATGGATGAGTGCAAACAACACTTAAGACCACTTGCACATGTGAAGCAAAGCCCATTTGCATCATACACAGCTTTAGTAGAAGGCTGTTGCTCCATTTACTCAGTGTTTGCATCACCCCAGTAGCTATGTAAAATTGATATGCCCTTTTTCTTCCCTTTAAAGGGGCCCCAGGCTACCCTTTTGACAAACCCATGAAGTTCAGTGTGCCAGAAAATCCCCAAAGCCAAACAAGGCAGTGCTATGCACAGCGGGTATGCCACTCTATAAAAAAAATGAGCCCTTGCGTCTCTCCAGCCTTTTACAGTACCACGCCCGCTCAATCTCCCCCCTTGATACGGCAATCAATCTCCCCCTTTCATACAGCCCGCCAAATACTCCTCTTCGCTTGTGAGAGTGCTAGTTCCCTTTCCACCCGCCACATCGGCTTTGGTACTAGCTATCGGCGACACAGGTGTTTCTGCCAATGCTTCCTTCAGCTACAGTGCTCTATCTGCGCCGGCACATTTGCGTGTTTCTGATCAGTGCTTTGTCATGCTCTCATAAATAGGCTGCATCACTTTAGCTGGATTAGTGGCGGATAACTGAGTGACACATATTAGTGCAAGAAATATGATGAATGCAGCAAACAAGGCAATCCCATTCGTGCGGTAAAAGCCCGTGTACTATGCGATGTCACTGCACGTTAAAGAACTCCAGAAGGTTGAAAATATCTTAGCAGCTAGAAATGGCCAATATCATATTGTGGATTTGGCACGTAAAATCCCAGATATTATATCATAATTTATATTATTATCAAGAATGGCCCCCTCGGTGGAAGAGTGGCTAGGGTGCTTGGCTACTGACACGCAGGTTGTGGCTTCGATCCCGGCTGCAGCATTTCGATGGAGGCAAAAATGCTTGAGGCTCATGTGCTGTGCGATGTCAGAGCTCATTAAAAAATACCAGATGGTGAATCTTTTCGGAGCCCTCCACTACGGCAATCTTCATAATCATATAGTGGTTTTGGGACGTAAAACAAAAATCAGCAAAAGGTAAAATGACAAGCACGGGGAGACAGAATATCAACGCAGTTCTCCTTAACGAGGGATACCTATACGAGTATAAAAGGTTTTTCGAGGGCAGCCAATAAGGTTCTTATGTTGGAGTCTGGAGGCGTGAAGAGACAGATACGGCTCACGAGCGGTTCACGCCCATCAACAGTCCAGCGAGGAAGCCGCCGTAGTGCGAGTGCAGAAGCTCGAACTGTAGCCCGACGGTTCGCTCCCGCTGTTGGTAGACGACGCCAGCTGCGGCGCTGTCTTAGCTTGAACACTAGAACCACGCCACACCCTAGCCGCTGATGATGATGCTTTCCAGAAGAATGGCTCTAACCACCACGAAAAATCGGCCACGAGGCGTGTGGCAGTAGAATTTGTAAATTTCCAACCACCAGCACGATTCTTCCTCTTTCTTCGATGCGGTGGCTCTGGATATTGCCAACAATTTTTTTGAGTTTCTTTTCTTTTTGAATCGCCAATGTTCACTGCACTGGTGCAGGTAACTCAATTTCAAGAGCCCATCTTGCCTGCCAAATTTGAAAATCATTTGACTAGCACACTTCACTCACAACAGTGAGTACAGATTGTCTTCCAGTCTCCTTTGTTTCCGAAATCAATTCTGCAGTTCTCCCAGCACTCACTCATCCTCTATCCGAGCCTGTAGTCTTTCCTTTATAATCTGCATCCACAGCCACTAAACCACTGATTGTCATAGGACGGCAGTTGTTTCTGTCTGCTTTGTCTCCCTTTCCTTTATAGATCATGTTCATCCTGCGAAGTTTCGATCCATCAGGGACTTCACCATAAATTATTGTTTTGCTCACTGCCTCTCCCAAATTTTGCTTAGACTTGGAACCTAATTCCTTTATCAGCATGATTGGAAAGCCGAAAGGGCCGGTTGATGTACTATTGGAAACTCTCTTCCGAGCCGTTTCCCAATCTAATTGTGAAAGTGGAGCCACTGCGCCACTTGATCCATCCTTGTATATTAAGGTGCATAGGGAACTTCCTAGTTAAAATTTTCCTGTCACCCTTGTTCTTATATACTCAATAGCTTCGTCCCCTTCTAGCCTAACACCTTGAGGTGTAGTTATAAACCTCTGCTCTAAGTTTGTCTCAACATATCTGCACAGCGCAAGACTACGAGTAGTCATGACGTAACTACAGAAAAGACAAGGACAGAAAGAGCGCTGACATCAACTGAAATTTTATTTGCGAAAACGCTGGAAATATATACTCGTGACAGAACATCACCGCGCAATCGTGCGACCTATTGCATCACAACAAGACAATCATCATCCCATTATACGGTTACAAGACCACACCTAAGCACAAATTCACGATCTATTGTGTCAAAGCCAGACACTCGATTTCTGTTTTAATCAGAGCAAGCGAAGGCATGCTGATACATAGATCACCCAGCATTTGAATTTTATTGGCCTCCAGTATATATTTCCAGCTTTTTCGCTAATAAAATTTCAGTTGAAGTCAGCGCTCTTTCTCTCCTTGTCTCTTCTTCTGTAGTTATGTCATAACTATTCGTAGTCTTGCGCTGTGCAAATATGTTGATTGCCAATCACCAACTAGCCCAAGCATCTGTCTTATTAAGTTTGTCTCCTTACTTAGGGAGTTAAAATGGTTCCAAAAATTCGCAGCTGCCTTTCTATCCTTTTTATGCACTTCTGCCAGTCACTGCGGCCCCTTTTTTCTATTTTCATTGATAGAAAGGATGCTTCCTTTCTTCAGCTTAGAAAGATCCCATTTTCTTTCAACATAATCTGTTGGTTCACTCTGCTGCTTAGCATGTCTGTGTTCCTAGAGGCTTCCCGACCTTTTGCTATGGCTTTCTTAACTTCCTCATCCCGCAGACTCTTTGGTTTGTGTCTCTTTTTCCTGGGTGACTTATCACGTACCTTAGCAAGCTCTAGCTCAAACAGTCCAAGCATATTCCTGTATGTCCACACTGTTTTATTATCCTCAGTGATTACTTTCTCAATTCGTTTAGTAGCTATTTCTATTTGCCGTTCTGAATAAAACTTCCCCTGTAGTTGCTCATCTTGTCTCTTTCCCACTTTCATTGCTCTTCTGGAACTTAGCTTGATACGTTTGGAATCCCTACCCAGACTTCTGGAGCCACATTCATCTATGTGTATTCCCCTGAGCCTATCATACATCCATATAGACATCAATGCACAACCTACCGGCGAATGCAGCCTTCCTACCTCCCATGTTACCTGCCCTTCACACTTCTCAGTACTCTTGCAAATGATCAAATCATATGCCTTTTAGACATACCTATGATCATTTTCCCTGCTGGGTCAGTATACCCATCCATATCTTCGCTGATGGGCAGCACCCCTCACCTCCCCACCGTCGTGGCCAGCCAGTCTACTTTTCCTTTGACGCATGCTCCTTTATTCGGGAAACGACTCGTCAGGCCGCACATGGGGAAAGATCGAGCAGTCGTAACAGTAACCCCATGCTCGTCTTGACATGACTAGGAGTAGATGGTGTAGAATGGTTCAACGAATCTGTCTGCTAGCAGGTGCATCGTCATGTAGCTAGGTGGTGGAGAGAAAAACTTGGCAAAGGCCGCGTTTAGACCGGAGCGCTACTGCAACAACACAACTATCGCATTTACCCGCTATCGCATTCGCATATTTTTTGCAGCCTCGCATTGCCCAACAAAATACCCTATTTACTCGCATAATAAACGCACTCGCATATAATAGCACCCCCAACTTCACCTGTCGAAATTAAGATTTTTTTACCCCGCGTAATAAATGCACCCCCTACAACATTAAGGCATTCCTCCATGCCCTACAACATTCATCCGCTGCAGTCCCGCTAACCTACACATACCCCTTGCCCGCTAAATCTCCTCAGTTTTTTATTATTCGACGTGCCACCTCGGCTTGCTCCCTCCCTATCTTCTACCACTGCCACGCGGCACTTTTTTCTTACTACCTGTGCTCGGCACAAGCCCAGTATTTTTTAATTATCTATGCGCAGGGGTGAGACGGCTGAGACTAAATTGGGAGCAGTTTTTGGAGCAGCAAAATTTCAATTTTGGAGCAGAAGAACCTTCCTTGGGAGCAGTTAGTGGCATTTAATATGTCGTCCTGGGAGCTTGAAAATAGAAATTTTTAGCAGCATGGGGGCAACTGTGCATAATTTAATTGGTTTATATTACATATATTACACTGAAATACATTTTGAAGAAAGTTCTTAAACAGATTATTACCAGGTATAAACTTTTTTGCGTACCATGTGACCTGTCCAGCCACCCTAACAAACATGTGAAATAATATTTAATAAAAGAAGTTTTGTTGAAAGGTTGGTTTCACGGAAACATTTAAAAAGAAAAACACACCACTCTCAAAAAGAAATTTGAAAATTGTGATTGCACAAGAATCTGGTTACGTAACAGTGGTTCTTCGCTTAAAAAAAAGCTTGACATGATAGGGTCAAGAGCTTTTAACAGACAACGAAACCGCACCACGCTGCCGTTCGCGGACACCTCGTTCCGGATCACGTTCACGATCGCAGCGCGGGAACGGTACTCAGTAATAAGCGATCAAATGTTACTGATAACGCCTCTCCACGCAAGCAACCACGCATGTTATGAATACAGCACACGTTGACCAGTTTTTTTTTTTTTTAATCGTAGGTCATTGTAGTATTGTTTGGAGAACACAAGGCACCGCCGACTAACAAGAAGTACGCAGCAGCCGGTAGCCAAGCAAAAACTCTCTTTATGTACATACACAGGCATCAGTATAAATATGTATATGTCAATTTTTATTAAAGGGAACAGGGGAGCGCATGGCCTGCGTGCTTCGGTGGCTGCTGGAAGCGCGTTTAAGTGGGAGCGAGAGGAACCAC